TATGATTTGTATCTGATAAATTGTAACAAAAGAAACGGTTAAAAGTGTATTTAGCAAATACTTTACACTGCGTTACTTTATAAATCGTCTCAAGCTTCATTTATTCTATCCTAGTCTTCTATTATTATCATTTTCATATGAATAATCATTAATAATTCGTATTATAAATGAACTGACCTCTGCTTTCTAGAGGAACGTCCAAATGAACAGCCTTTTAACCTCTCCTACAATCTTTAATTCCATCCATGTCCGAAACACTGTATAATAATAATTATTCTCGTATTCTCTATATCCATTTTTACTTTCCATTTATATTGATGCTTTACATATATATTGGGTTTTGCAAGATCAAACGTCTTTGTAACTGTAATACGTGTAAATGTTTGATTACATTCTGCTATCAAATGCAGCTTCTTTGCTTATCAAGAGGAGGTTTAAGGTGTGAAGTGTCTGTCTTTTCCTCAAGGTTTGCTGATAAGGAGACACTGAATATAATGAAGTGGCTTTTTTGATACTGTTTGCTTTGGATCTGTTAGATTTTCTCTATGAAAACACATAATAAAGAAAGCACTGTCTGACATTTTTACTGAAGCTGTTTCCATAGGATCTTTCGCTGATGTGAAATCATGGCAGCAGCAATAATGGCTGCTGTGCAGATCTATCAGTCTACAGAAATTGTTTCTTCATTTTATGTCAGTGATACAGTTGTAGTCAAAATCATTTTGCCTCATTTTTCTTTTTTAAATATTTCCCAAATGATGTTGAACAAACAAAAAGATTTCTCACAGTATTTCCTATAATGTTTTTTTTAGTCTGGAGAAAGTCATATTGGGGTTTTTTTTTTGGCTAGAAAAAAAAGTTTTACATTTTTTAAAAACTATTTTAGGTCAATATTATTAAATATAATATTTATTAATATAATATGTAAATATAATATGTTTAACAGAGCAATATTTTCACAATATGTCTGATAATATTTTTTCTTCTGGATAAAGTCTTCTTATTTGCTTTATTTCGGCTAGAGTAAAAATTATTATCCCCTTTAAGCTATTTTTTTAGAGAACAAACCATCGTTATACAAAACCTTGCCTAATTACCCTAATCAGCCTAGTTAACCTATAATTAACCTAGTTAAGCCTTTAAATGTCACTTTAAGCTGTATAGAAGTGTCTTAAAAATATATAGTCAAATATTAATTATTGTCATCATGGCAAATATAAAATAAATCAGTTATTAGAAATGAGTTTAACAAAATCTTCTCTCCATTAAACAGAAATTAGGGAAAAACTCTGTTGTTATACCCCCCTCTCTCTCTCTTAAGCTGGCGCAGGGCCTGTCTGTCCCTGTCTGTGTGCCTGCATTCATACCCAACATGAGCCAACATCAGCATTCAGGAGGAGAGGAGAGCTGACCTGAGGCCTGTGGCACATCAGAGGTGAGAGGAGAGAGCCAGCGCTGTCAGAGCCGCACCACCAGTCTATACGCCTGCAGCCCAGAGTATCACACACATACACTACAAAAAGCTGATTCACTTTTTGTAATCATTTACTTACCTGCATACCATTTAAACTGGCTTTGATTTTGTCTGTATTACACTGCAAAAATGCTCTCCTTACTTAGTTTTGTTCTTCTCAAAAATTGTTAAATCAAGAAGCATTTTCCCGGACAAAACGTGTCTGAAATTATTTTTTTCTTAAAGGGGTGGTCCAGAGTGTTTTTTTAAGGCTTGGTTGTGTTTATAAGATGCAAAACAATGTGTGCTCATGCTTCACTTGTAGAAAATCAAGTTATTTTTTCATATATCTTACTTTAATTATTTACAGTTACTAAGCTAACATAAAAATGCCTGTCATATTTTCTAGTTCCTCTGAAAGGCCCGCCCTCAAGAGGCTCTGATTGGTCAGCTAACATAATGTGCTGTGTTCTGCGGATCGGCTCCACGTCAGCAGAAAAAGTGTCAAACGCCTTCAAGGATGGTCTTTTGCTTTGTGTAAATACGGTCAGTCAGTATCTGTACTGTCAATACTGTTAGCCTTATCAGTTTGTGCCTGAATCAGATAAAAAAAAAAAATGACAACGAGGACACAGCTGAACCTCACGCCTGCTCTCTAAAATAACATCTGACAAGTGTCTTTCTTACATATCTTCTGCGAATTTGTTTTTTGAGATATATAACGCAAGGAAAACAGACGCATAGACACACTGAAAGTGGCTGCACAGAGAGACACTGAAAGCGTCCGCATAGAGAGACACTGCAGCGCTGGTGAAGATTGTGGGTGTTTTCAGTGGTTTGACTGATTCATATGAATTTGTAGCTCAATTGTTAGCGGTGCCAAACAGCATTTCCCATTGTTTACATCCTTGTTTACGTTCTTGCTACAACATACATTTAGTGCTAGAAACTATGCATGTGATAGATACATTTTAACAAATAAAAATACTTACATGTTGTGGCTCACAATCCACAGCTTCGTTTATTATGGTTGGAGCTGCTCCTTCTTTGAGGATTTCTTCTTTGATTTTAGCTGAATCCGGAGCACAACCAGTAGAGATTCTAAAAGCTGTCCTTTGTCAAATGCTCGCTATATCTTTTTAATAACTCTCTGTAATAATTATAATTAAAATGTAAGCACTTCTATCTTTGTGTCGTGTCGTGTCCTTTGAAAGCCCCAATACAGAAACAGAAGAAACTCTGGGAAAATAGCAGTGTTTGGACGCCATTTTAGCTTTCCCTGCTATAACATTACAGCACCTCTGTGGCGTAAAAAGTGTTACATACTGTATGTATGAGGCAAAATTCACCCAGAAACGTAATTTCTGTCTTCATGTAATGATGTATTTGCGGCCGCAAAATCACACGTGAGCTGACTGTGAGCTACCGAGAATGCACGCGCAAGCAAGCAGCACGCCAATGACGGCTACGTTAGTGAACAGAACCTGTATAGGCGTTGAATAACAAGTAATAAAGTTGTAAAGAACGTTCAGTTTGTGGCACAGAGCGATCGTTTGAGAGTCGCGCTGAAAGAATGATTTGCATGTGTGTGTGTTTTATCACAGTGACGGCAGCCATGAGCCGCACTGGGAAGTGAAAATGAAACTGGTGGCACATAATTTTACGGGTATAATTACGACAAGCATTTGATATGTTTTTTTTTTCATAGTTAACACGTAGTGTTGTGCATGAAAATAAATATGTTACAGTGTCAGTATAGCTACTCTAGCTTATATAATGCTGAATATAATGCAAGAAGAAATCTGATAATGACAAATGTCTGATTTTACCAATGAAAACACTGGTCTAATAATGCATCTTAAACATAATAATTCAACTTTATAATTATAAATAGTTGTAATCTGATGTCATCATTTTACTGTGAAATAACAAACAAGACATATTGAAAGTCTGTTCAAGTCCACCATTATGACTGTACAAAATTTAGCATTTTAAGCAACATAGGCCATTTTACACATAGGCCTAATATTATTATTGTTGTTTTACCATATCGTCACTTTAAAATTATAAGGTTCTCTCTGACATTTTTCCTGACATTTTCATTCATCAAAATTGACTTATTGACATATTCTTATTAAATGACAACTTATTGTTTACATTTTAAGACTTTAAAAAAACAAAACAAATGTTACACGCATACTAGAGCTGCACAATTAATCGTTAAAAGATCGCGATCTCGATTTGACCGCCAAGACGATCTTAATCCAGCATTTCTACGATTCTGCCAATCATATTTTCAAGTTCAGGAGAGAAGAAAAGGCGGCTGCATGAGTGTTTATTGTTTCACACACGATGCTCAGTGACACTGACACCTCCAAATGATGTTTTAATGAGTCACATACTGTATTTATAAGGTATAATTCACCTAAAAATGTCATTTTTGTCTTCATATAATGAAGTTTTCACGGCCGGGAAATCACACGTGACGTGCTGCTGACCGTAAGCTGTTATCACAGAGAGGGCGCGCGTGCTCTACTTAACGATAGACGCGCGCGCGTTTACTTTAGTGAACAGAACCTGCATATGTTGCGAGTAATAGGTAATACAGTTGTAAATAATACTCTGTTTGTGGCACAGGGTGATCGTTTGGGAGCTGCGCGAAGTACGAACAAGCACTTAGCAGTCAAAATGAAACCGAAAGCTTGCACTTCATTTACATGATCATATCGCATTTTAGAGTTATGATTACGTCAAGCATTTGATATGTTTTTTTTTTTCTTTTATAGCGAACCCACAGTTGTGCATGGAAATGTCAGTATAACTACTCTAGCCAATATATTGTTGTTGAATATAATCTGATAATGGCAAATGTCAGATTTTTTATGACAGATTGCAAGCATATATCTCAAACATAATAATTCAACATCAAAATTATTATAGGTAGAATAGAATTATTTATAAAAACCAGTAGACCAAATAATATTATTATCGATGAGGTGCCATATGTTTGTTTTTACCATACCTTTATTTTAAATCTACAGAATCGTGAGAAAATCGTGATCTTTATTTTAAGCAAAAACAATCGCGATTCTCATTTTAGCCAGAATCGTGCAATTCTAACGCATACTGTTTGCTATATGGATTGTGAAAACTTTGAAGCTCAATATCTCAAAATCATTCAGAAAGCAGATAGAACCTTATAATTCCAAGGTGACGGTATGTTTGAGAGTTGACAATAATAATAGCCAACTCATATTAACCTTTATTTTACATCTAAAGAATCGTGAGAAAGAATCGTGATCTTAATTTAAAGCAAAAAAAATCGTGATTCACATTTAGCCAGAATCGTGCAGCCTTACCCAGATGTTTTTTTTTTTTTTTATAGTTTTTTAAGTTTCTAATCTCCACCATTGTTCTATTGTGTGTTTGTGTTTTAACGTAGTGACACAATGAGCCAAAGTTTAGTTAAAATTGTTATAATGTCATAATGATGAGCAGATAAAGAGATGTTGATCAGTGAAGGATGAAGACTGTTAATGCTACAGACCTGTTTTGTCCACGCTGTCCTTTTGTCTGCATTTCCCCTTAGTAACAGAGACGTCATCGATAGCGATGTCTCCCTCAAACCCATTTCCTCTGATTCCCTCAAACACCACCTGACAGAGAAAACCAGGAGTTAGACAAAATATATACAGCATGTCCAGAGCCATATCACATTCACAACACACATCTGCTGTAACCGACTGTGACAGGAATCTGAATGCGACCTCAATGAACTGGTCATAACACACACAGCACTCAGCATATATGAGTTCAAACTTCTCATTTAAGCCAATACTTTTGCTTTACAATAATATATTTGTGCATGTATATTAGATTAGTCAGTACTGAAGCCAAATCTGGAGCTAATCTAATAAAACAACTTATGATAACAAACAGTATAGCACTTCAGAGTCACACTGCTAGCAATCGAAGACTTGTGAACATTTGGCAAGAGCATTCTGTACTGCACAGGAGACACAGCATGGAGTTGATTCATTGATAATAGTCTACAGCCAATCAGGATCCAGAACACAATGCACTGTAAAAAAACAAACAACTTTTTTTAGTTATTTCAAAATAACTAACTTTTTGGCCGCTTTATTAGGTACACCTGTCCAACTGCTAAATGCAAATTTCTAATCAGCCAATCACATGGCAGCAACTAAATGCATTTAGGCAACATAGACATGGTCAAGACGATCTGCTGCAGTTCAAAAAGAGCATCAGAATGGGGTAGAAATGTTATTTAAGTGAATTTGAACGTGGCATGGTTGTTGGTGCCAGACGGGCTGTTCTGAGTATTTCACAAACTGCTGATCTACTGGGATTTTCATGCACAACCATCTCTAGGGTTTACAGAGAATGCTCAGAAAAAGAGAAAATGTCCAGTAAGTGGCAATTCTGTGGGCGCAAATGCCTTGCTGGTGCCACTCCTGTCAGCTAAGAACAGGAAACTGAGGCTACAATTCCCACAGGCTTACAAAAATTGGACAACAGAAGATTGGAAAAACGTTGCCTGGTCTGATGAATCTCAATCTCTGCTGCAACTATCAGATGGCTGGGTCAGAATTTGACATCAACAACATAAAAGCATGGATCCATCCTGCCTTGTATCAACGGTGCAGGCTGCTGGTGGTGTAATGGTGTGGGGGATATTTTCTTGGCACACTTTGAGTCCATTAGTTCCAACTGAGCATCGTGTCAACGCTACAATGTACCTGAGTATTGTTGCTGACCATGTCCATCCCTTTATGATGGCTTCTTCCAGCATGATAACGTGCCATGTCATGAAGTGCAAATCATCTCATATTGATTTCTTGAACATGACAGTGAGTTCACTGTACTCAAATGGCCTCCACAGTCACCAGAGCTCAACCCAACAGAGCACCTTTGGAATGTGGTGGAACAGGAGATTGGCATCATGAATGAGCAATCGACAAATCTGCAGCAACTGTGTGATGCTATCATGTCAATGTGGACCAAAATCTCTGAAGAATGTTTACAGTATCTTGTTGAATCTATGCCATGAAGGATTAAGGCAGTTCTGAAGGCAAAAGGGGGTCCAGCCCGGTACTAATAAGGCATACCTGATAAAGTGGCCAGTGAATGTGTGTTTGGGAAAAAAATATTTAATAAAATAAAAAAAGAACAAAAATCAAGAGAAAAAAAAAAAAAGTACAATTTTGTTGAAAATTTTTTGAAATTTTTCAATATTTGGCAATTAATTTAATTTAATGTATTAACTAATAAATTGATTTAAACTTAGTATCACTCTATTTCTAAAGATGTTTGGTGACTAAAATATTATTATTTTAATAAATATATGAATTTAATAAATATGTTTTTCTCAGATGCGCTAAAATATATTAAATACATTCACTGATCTTCAAAATAGGGTGTACTCATTTATGCTGAGCACGGTATGTATGATGGAGAATTTTAATAAATTATAGAATGAACTCTTAATTCATACATTATTTAATTCATTAATAATAATAAAAAGCTAAGGAAGTTCTTACAAACATAAATAATAGATGTGTTGAGTATGTGTAAATATTTTTCTTGAGTTCTAGATTTATATAATCAACCTCTACAGTATAAAGCATTTAAAAAAAAAACACACTCAATTTAAAGCTTTTTTAGGTCGTACAATAAGCATATATATATATATATATATATATATATATATATATATATATATATA